TTTAGAGTCAAGGTAATGCAACAGGCCTCGTCAAAATCGAAAATGAGGTTCAGTGGTCCAAAAAACCTCAATACAACGCGGGCTTTCTTCCTTTTCTGTGCAAGTTGCTCACCAGACGATACTGACAACCACTGTGGTGGTGCACTGAATTGCAAACTTTCTGCCAGATCACTTCCAAAGAAGTCCGTAAGAGGCGGAAGGATCTTCAATGTCTCCACAGATTGTAGCCTTATCAACAAAAGTGAGCAACGAGGTAGAGTGAGTTTTTCAATTAAGGCAAATGATCAATGACATTGCTGTAACACTATTCTCTATGGTGCATTGCACTCCTCGAAGGAGGCCTAGTTACTTTGGCAATCACAGCGATCGAGGAAGCTGTTTACCGCTTGGACCAAGCTGGGAGATGAAGCGTTTTCCTTGTTTATTCTGGACCGCGCTTCGTATTCGACTGGTTAAATACTGTTTCAAAACCAATAGACAATATCGCATCGACGACGCACGTTTCATTTCTCCATAGGCTCATAAACCACCACCGTGCGCTCAGGACTAACCGAGTCCATGGTATGGTTTTCTAGCACTTCCTTAACTCGTCAGCTTGTCCGCAAGCAAGGGCCTTCGCTCAACGGGATCATCGTTTTCTCTACCATGAATCTGCTTCGCGACAGTCGATTTCAAACCCTCCGAAATGGCTAGTGTTCCTTTGTGACCTAGTGACCTAAGGATTAAGTCATTACCACGGCCAAACACTTTAAGGTGTCCACGCGGATTCAACTTTCCCTGGGGGCATTTAGAATGCTTAAGTGGTAAAAGTTTGAACAAGACGTTTTTAGACTGTGAGGTATTTGGCTGGCATAACTGGTAATTTGGGGTAGGTTGGTGTGCGGGGGCTGGTAAAGCAAGCCGCCACCTCAAAATAAGCAACACGCGGGTGGGGAGCGTTGATACAGGACACGAATGTGGGTTGGTGACGTAACCTACAACACTTGAGTGTTTCACAATCTGACTCAACACTTACGAGTTTTTGAGGTGAAATCATTCAACCGACTTACCACAATGGCGCTCTACAAGTCATCACTGCAATTTCAAATAGATAAGTTTTTTGGCAGTGGCACAGCATCAAGGGGTATATTTGAAACTGTTAGGCTTTTACATTTGCTTACCTTTTAGCTAATGAGTCCGTCACGTTAATGGTTTAATTCGCGTCAAATGGCTCTAATTTTCTAACCGCAAATGTCAAGCCTACAAGTCCCTTTTTCTATATCGTGGTGCGAGATAATACGCGGTGACGCGGATAATACTGTGAGGAGCCGTGTCCCGCGAAGATGACAGACAAACTTAAGCAAATGTGAGCAGAGCGGCTACAAGCAAAGGTTGGACATCGGATGCAATGCCACATTCATTAAGTCTGGTGACATCTTTGGTAAATGTTTCGGGGCCAGATATCTCAAGCAGCCAGAAGACAAAAGAAAAAACTCCTCACATCCGGGACAGAGACACAGTGCGGTCCCCCTTTTTGCTGGAGGCGGCAAAGGCAGATTGAGTTTTCTCACAGCATCCTGAGTGTGTTAACACAGAGAATACCAGGAAACAAGCACGAATTTGTCAGCTGGCCAATAAATGGTTCCCAAGCTTTCTGACGCTGTGGTCGACAGCGCAGAAAAGTCATGGAATATAATAACTTCTTTACATGGAGTCCGTTTTGCGGAATAATCTGGCAAGCAAAAGTCAAGAAAAGGCTCCCCGGTGCTATGTTTAAACAGGCTGAATGTGAAACCCCAGAACAAAGCGCTTGGAACTGAGTCAACTGGAAGAGCCATGGGTATTGTTTTTACTGTTTATTCTTCAACCACCACGTAAGTAACCCCGGGGCAATAAAAATTATCCACGGAAATTTACCGAGGTCTAAACATATACTAATTTATATGTCCATCAGCTTGCGTGAAGTGTGAGCCGCGCCTTTTCGAAGGGAGAAGCTCAACTTAAATCACAAAATAAAAAAGCAGTCACAAAAATTTAGGTGCTCCGATGGTGACCCAAATATTTAAGGAGTCTGTTATGGCCCCAAATATGGTATCCCATACATTCGAAGCAGCAAATTTTGGAATTTCGTGCAGGGGAGCCGCTTTTCAGAAGAACCAGCGGCTCAAGTAAATCAGACACCATGTGGGAGGAAATCGCCTGACGAAGGGCCAAAAAGCATAAAAGACACCAACATAATGGAAAAAACAGTGCCTTGGAGAAACTCATTCTAGACTCTACGACCAAAAAGGGCACAGATTTACTACTTCAGCCGAATCCCCGATAGTTTGTTTCTCTCCTGGTCCCCCTTCGTGTTCAGAAAAACAGTTTTCAGCTGCTTATCGGAGAACTATCTCATTTTCCTCAACAAGCTTTGTGATATTTAGAATTTAACCCGTATTTTGCGCCCACTCCTCATAGCATTAAAGAATGCCTGGCGTAACTCTGAAGCTTGGATTGCAATTGACGGCGACCTCACTTTCCATGATGGTGCTGGTAATTTAAACTTAAACGAACTAGTGTACATCGTGAGCGACGTATACGAAACTACTTGTGTCACATTATAGTATGTTGTGAAACCAAATCTATCTTCGCAGGATCAAACCGTCATTTCGGCGGATGATCTACCGTTGCCGAACGATGGATAGCTTCTTATGGCAACCGTCGAGCGACTCCTCGGCTGCCTCGTTGGGTTCAAAAACTCAAGTCCCCCAGCAATCTCATCAGCGACGCGCTCTATGCCCCCGTACTTCTATGTCCACCCTGGCGGACGACCCGAGCCCTCTGAGGTTTCTACGTTAGCGTCATCCAAATATATACTATGGTGGCAAAGCAATGGTCGCTGGACTACCATCCATGTTTTTATGATAATCTTGATCCTTTACCACAATACTACCCGACAAGGGCCGACTAAGAATCTTTCTAAGTATTATGTACAAAATTTTGTTGGAGAAGAGCCGCTCTCATTTGTAGCGGCAACTAGTGATAACTCCCTCCAGTAGCTGTCAACCTTAAATCTAAGAACTGATCTTGATAACTTTTAATTCTTTTTTCATATCAATTACCAGATTGACAAGTTTTTGCTTAATTTCAAGCTATGTGGATATTTCATTCACCCAATCCGGGTAAGAGGGAGACGCAGAACTCTAAGAACAACTCTAACTTGAGGGAGCTGGACAAACGCATCGTTTCTTTATGTTAATGTCTTGAAGAACGGATGTGCCGAGTGGAACTGTGAGTATGGCCCTACTCATGAGAGTGCTACAGTTATAACGGTGAACCCAGCGTTTCACAGCAAACGCATACCAAGTGTCTTTGCAAGGGGTTCTGGCCTGTTACGTGGTGTCTGGCCGAAACCCACCCCAGAATCTGCTGGGCGGCACCGTGACCCAAAAAGCGTTCGCCATTTTACAGATGATCCAACGGATCTTCTCCCGTATCATTCGCATGCACTTTCAAATATTCTATGGGACCTACGTCATACCGCTTCTGCAATACGCCAACGAAGTTGTCTACTCAGCACGCACGAAACACGTCACCCCCACTGAGCATGTCCAGCGAGCCGTACGAGAATGGTTGCCGGCCTCAAATCCGTGGACTACGAAACGCATCTCGCGTTGCTTGATCTCCCTCTCCTGGAGTATCGTCGCCTCCGGGGGGACCTAATTCTTATTTATGCCCTGTTTGAGCAAAGCACGTCCAACAGGTTATTCACCGTTGACCCAACAAACACTCGGCGGGGACATGTCAAGAAGATTTTCAACCTCAGAGCACACACATTCATTAGGCAAAATTTTCCTCATTTCGAGTAGTACCTGCGTGGAACGACCTTCCTCCAGCGGTTGTCCACGCTCTTTCTAGAACACACTTCAAAGTAATCATACTGGCCCCGGGTTGAGAAAATAAAGAGCAGTGCAACACCCTTTTTTCACCTGTACCTTTCAGATTAACGACAGCCGCTGAACGACAACAATAAGACCGACCCGGGAGACTTGGGCAAGAACCTCGATCCGGTGTGTCAATCCGTGAATCCGTGAATCAATATCAACTGTCGGACTTGGCACCGCACGGATGGTAACGCGGTACCATTTTGTGTTGTAAACCTGCGTAAGGTAGGACACATGAGCGAAATTCCTGTGCTAGTTCAGCAAGGCTGCGCTGTTTCTGCGACCCTGTT